ACACACACACACACACACACACACACATACACACACACACACACACACACACAGGGTGGGGGTAGGGAGAAGATAGAGATCAATAGACACCTGATGTCATTGGCCTACTTCTGGCCACCACACGCTTGTGCTCACACATAAAGATGACTCAGTGTGTTGTTTTGTTTTTTTAAATGAAATGCTGTGTGCAGTGGTGCCTTATAATCCCAGTTAGAGCGTAGGGTCCACCTGGGCTACTCTATATAGAGAAATTCCATCAGCTAGACGTAGGGGGACATTTAAATCTAAAATCAACATCAGGTTCAGAAGCCCATGTCTGTAGGCCCAGCACCTGGGAGGTGGAGACAGGAGGATCAGGAATTCAAGGCCAACCCAAGTCACATGACTACATAAGAGAGATCTCAATAATAAATAAACATTGAAAAAAAAATCTAAAAAGGCCTCCCTCACCTCATACATGTCTCTTCCCCTAGCCCCGGCAAGAGTTTCTTGAGGTGTTCTGCTTTATACAAAATAAAGAAGACATATGTATAGGTACATATTGTTAAATATATTTTTACATGTATTTAATTGCTCTGGACATGGTCTGAACAAGGACTGGGCTCGGTCTGGGGTAAGAGAGGTGCTTGGGGCATCACAGCAAAAATGCTCACCAATCACCAGAAAGCATATTTTTGGCCAGTGAGGCAATGCAAGCCTGTAATGCTAGCATGGGCCGCATAGTGAGAGGCTGTCTCAGAACCAGACAAACAGCAAGCAGACTCCAGGTTCCGATGGGGCAGAGCTGAGACTTTGTCCCTTGTTGCTGAGATAAGGTTTCACCTTGTCACCTTGGCTGGCCTCTGCCTCCTGAGGGCTGGGACTAAAGGCGTGCACCAAACTTGGCCTTCCTTATGATCTATCTCTTCAAGGGCTGGAGAGATGACTCGGCAGTGAAGAGAACTGGCTGCTCATCCAGAGGCCCCAGGTTCGGTTCCCACCATCCACATATACAAGAGACCTAAAACCCTCTCCTGGCCTCCATGAGCTCCAGACCTGGGCTGTGTGCTACACAGACATACAAGTGGACAAAACACTCCCCACAAAAACAAAACAAACAAACAAAAAACTCACATACACAAATAAATAAACAACCTTTCCATACACACATAAAACCTACTTTGATCCTGTTCACACCCCTAACGCTATCACCTACTTTTTATCCTTCCCCATTGCCTTCCTCGTCTCAAATGGTCCACTTTCCACTTTAAAAAAAGCCAGTCAGTGGTGGCACACACCTTTGGTCCCAGCAATTGGGAGGCAGAGGCAGGTAGATCTCTGAGTTTGAGGCCAGCCTGGTTCGACAGAGTGAGTCCAGGACTGCCAGGGCTACACACACAGAAACCCTGTCTCAAAAAACAAACAAACAAAAGAATAACAACAAAAAACAAAGCCAACCAAACAAAAACCAACCTAGATTCCACATAAGAGAAAAAACAAATATCTTCCTTTCGAATCACTTATTTCATTTCACAATTCCCAGTTCCATTTTCCCGCAGATGACATAATTTCACTTTTTTTTTAACAGCTATATGATATTCCATTGCACGTATATATGCAAGAAATAAATGCTTCTGGTCCTAGGTGTGGAGCTTCCTACTCCAGGGTGACCCAGACGACACTGGACCTAGCATGTGCAGAACCATATCACCTTTCCTGTAGTGTTTAACACATAGTCTGCACATATTTTCTACGGGCAGAGCACCCAGCAAGGGCTGAGAAGCCAGGGCTAGGAGATTTTGGGAGCCCTGCATTACCTGGCCAGTGAAGAAAGGGGCTGACTAGGAGGTTTCTTCCAAGAGGATATAGTGTAGGCGCTGACCCTGTTTTTTTGTTTGTTTGTTTGTTTTGTTTTGTTTTTTGAGACAGGTTTTCTCTGTGTAGCTTTGCACCTTTCCTGGATCTCGCTCTGTAGACCAGGCTGGCCTTGAACTCACAGAGATGTGCCTGCCTCTGCCTCCCAGTGCTGGGATTAAAGGCGTGTGCCACCACCACCCAGCATGACCCTGGTTTTGAGGCTGGGTGCCTCATGAGGTAGACACAGGAGACAGACCATAAAAGCTCTAGTTACGACACGGCTAGCTTATAAACCTGCCCCCTGCCCCAACGTCCCTGCTTCCTCTTCTGACTCTGTAATCTCATTCCTGCAGACAGACAGACGTCTTGTCAAAAAAGCTCCTTCCTGGGCTTGGGAAATAGCGCTTCGATCCCAGAGCATGGCTGTTTGCCACTCCTTCAAGGGAATGAAGGTAGATTGGTGTAAGGGGGATGGGTACTAAGCTCCCCTCCCCCAACACCGAGACCTCGCCCTTCATCTCACTCTGTGGCAGAAGCCCATCTTGTCCTACTCAAAAGAACAGGTTGGGAACCGAAAGCACCATCTGTTGCCAGACATAATTAACCTACTGACACCTACCTGAGTGGTTCCAAAGTCCAAGGCCACTGAAAAGCCAGGCACTGCACATCTGCCACTCATTAACGGAGTCCACGGTTAATCTGTTAACCCCTCCGCAGCTCAGTCTCCTCACCCACAAAACGCAGAGAGTACTCACACCCAGGGATGGCTGGTCCCAGGATTAACTGGATAGCACAGGCACAGGACCTGACCTGGCCAACACTAAGTATTCAGAGAGCTAGGGCCTCAGTGTTTAGAATCCAGCTCAACACAATGGAAACACGGCACGCAGGAATCCGCTGCCATATCCCTAAGTAGTGTTTGTCTTTCAACTACACCTTTCTTATGCACTATGTATTTCACAACAACAAAAAAGGATTTTTAAAAAATGTGGTTCCTAGGTGACTATTAGCGATGTCCCTCGCCGACTGATCTTTTGAATTCTCTATCCTAGGCCTTTATTACCTAGTTCAAAAAAAAAAAGTTTTTTGGGGGGCTTAACAAAGAGCTTTGAGTTGCTTATTCCGAACCCTAGGCTGAGTTCATGTCCCACATCTCCAGGTAAATCCCTCACTGCTGGAACTTTCTGCCTGCTTCCCTGCCTCAGGTCAAGTGCTCCTCTCCTGACTCTGATCCGACTGTGAACTACAGCAAGAAGCTTTGACACTGGCCTCCTTGTGGGAGTAGACAGAGGGCCTCCCAGGAAGGGAAGCAGGCCATACCCGTAAACCCAGACTCTTCCGGCCCTTTGGCCAAGTAAGTTCACTCATGGGAAGTTACGTTAGAGACAGACTCACGTTGTGTGTGTGTGTGTGTGGGATAGACAAGAAAATTCATGGTGGCATTGTCAGAATTAAATAAAACAGAAGGGGGTGGGGGCGGAGATAACCTGAAAATGGAAGCAAGCAGTTCTATTGGGAAGCTAGAAAAGGTCTGTGCCTCTGTGACGGAAATTTTGTCGTGATTTCGTTTAAATGGACAGTGATGGAAAGGAGTAAGGTACATCCACTAGGTAGACACCAAGCAAGGCCCAAGGTCTAGTTCCCATGACAGCAGCTGCATGCCTTAAAAACTTCCAGGAGAAAAACAAAACAAACAAACAAACAAACAAATGGCAAATCGCTTTCAGAAAGGAACTAGGCTTGTATGGAGGCTTGCTTTTTTAAAATCTTATTTTCAATTTCCCCCACACACAAATATATTATCTTTTTGGCTGAAAAAAAAAATATAAGTCAAACTAAAAAGGAAACCACCGAGGAGGCAATTCCGCAAGCGAGCTGGGGAGCGGATTCCACACTTCTTCAGCTA